GTGGAGGCAGCAGGGTCGGACCCGCCCGGACTGCAGCTCCAGTGGCTGGAGATGCTGGTGCTGATGCTCAGTAAATCCGCCTGGGTTGCCCATTCCCGATCCCTCTGCCCTCACCTGGAATTTATTGTCTTCATCTATTTTAGAGAGGCTGTACATGGAATTAAAAGATTTTGGCAGGAACCTACCTCTGAGCGCCCCATAACGACAGTGTGAAAATGGAGAAAAACATAAGATGAAGTGAAATGGCACAAACTCAAAAACACGACGTGAAATCAACAGGGAAAAAAAAAAAAAAACAGTTGCACCCTAGAGAGCTGCAGGGAGACAGAGGGACCCGGGGTGGGCGCTGCGTGGTGGGAAGAGGGTCTGGCTCTGCCCGGGCCCCTGCAGCTGGCAGCAGACCCCGGTTGCCATCCCATCGCAGCTTGAGCGGGCCCCTCCGGAGGGACGGGCCCAGGCTCCTGCCCGCAGCAGAGCCCCAAGAAGCGTCTGCTCTACGCGGACGGTCGCGGTCCTTGGCTGCTCAGCAGGGCGGGTGCTGGCACAGCTCCGCTAACAAGTGGTTAACTCATTAAGGGGCAACAACTTGATTGTCTGCCACCGCTTCTGGGGACCAGCTGCCTTCCCGCACGCTGCTCCAGGTCCAGGTTTGTGACCCGGGTTCAGCTGGTTCCACAGCTCCCCTCCCAAGGGCTCCGTCTGTCCCCACTGCCTTCCCAGGCCAAACCGTTTCAAAGGGTGCTGCCTGCCAGGCTGGGGCCAAAGCGCGGGGCGCCAGTCTAAAGCAAATCCGCTCCACCGCGAGGAGGGCGTTGGGGTCACCTCCCTTTCACTTGTCCCACTTGCGGCCACTCAGCACAGCCAGCAGCCAAGCTCTGGCTGCGGGACCAGGCTAGCGAGACCCCCGGAGACAGGCGCGTCCTGCCCAGGGGGAGAAGGCTGCTGCCCGGCCATCAGCCCCACCAGCCTGACGCTCCCGCCATGTAGCTGGGGACACCGGTGGGCAGAGGGGCTGGGGCTGACCCGCTCCCCTCTCCACTGCACAGCCGGCTCCCGGGATAGCAAAGGCTCGAAGGCGGCACGTACTGCAGCTCTCCTCATCCGAGTTGTCCCCACAGTCATTGTCGTAGTCGCACTGCCAGCGCCCCGGCACGCAGCGGTTGTTCTTGCAGCGGAACTGGTAGGGCTCACAGGTGCGTTCGTCTGGGAGGGACGAGACAGGGACAGGCATCAGCATTGCCCCCGCAACGGGCACGCCAGCTAGCAGGGCGGGCAGCGCTGCTCTCTGCCAGCCTCCCTCCGGCTCGGCCTTGCCCACACGGTTTGGAAAAGAAGCAGCTAAACCCTCCCCCAGCAGTCCGGGGAGGTAGAGGGGACAGAGAGCGTCAGGGCAGCCGGACCCTTGGGGAAGGGGGGGCACAAGAAGCCCTCTGGGCTCGTCTCCCCAGCCCCAGTCCCTGCTCACCGCATTCCTCCTTGGGCTCATCGGACCCGTCCCCGCAGTCGTCCTCCCCGTCGCACTTCCAGCGCGCTGGGATGCACCTGCCCGAGTCCTTGCACCGGAACTCGTCCACGCCGCACGTCATTTGTGCTGGTGGGGAGAAGAAAGATGACACGGATGTGGGGAGGGGAGGTGGGGTGAGCACTGGCCAGGCACATTTCTTTCTCCGCAGGGCTGATGAACACCTTGTGCCAGCAGCCTAGAGCTGACTGCAGCACCGCTGCTTGGAACAGGGTGGGCAAGATCCCCCCCTTCAAGCAGTTCTCCAGGGAGAAGTCAGAGAGAGGAGTATCTCAGATGGGACAGGTCCAGGCAGAGCCACCACCACCATCACCCACTGCCCGCAGCGCCTGCAGGGACCGAGCAGGGACCCGCCACCCCGCAGGGACACACAGATGTGACCGGCTGCGGGGCAGCTCCCGCTTTCGGTGTGACCAGACGCACGCCCTGCTCCCCGTGCAGGTTTCTTACTGCAGTTGGCAGGTTCATCTGAGCCATCCACACAGTCGTTATCCCGGTCGCACACCCAGACACGGGGGATGCAGCGCTTCGTGATCGCACACTGGAACTGGTTGGGGGCACAAGTCACCTCCGCTGCAGGAGGGAGAAGCAGAGTCAGGAGAGGCAATGGGGCAGGCAGGGGTCTGCCAGCCAGCACCCCGCAAAAGCCGCCCCACAGAGCAGAGAGGCGTGCAGATGCTCGGGGCGTCGCAACAAGGGTCTGGCCATGCTTGGCGACCATGTGCGCGAGAGGGGAGGGAAGCGGAGCCCTGTGCGGCCCCAAAAGACTCGACCAGCTGCAGGGAGATGGGGCAGAAGCCACAAGATCCCTCAGCTGTGCGATATGCTCAGTGCAAATCCACAGCAAATATTGACCTTGCCGCTCTGAGGGATCTAAGGATTTTGTTTCCACTAGGAAACAGAATAGGGGCAGCAGGGTGATGGTAGACAGAGGCTCTACGCAGAGAGAAGCTCTACGCAGAGCAGAGGTAAGAAGAAAGCGCCATGCCCAGGGGCAAGACCACCCAGAAGTCAGCCTGCAGAGAAGGCAATACCCAGACACGGATCTGAGGCAGCACTGAACTTCTCGCCGCTAACCATGCGCGCTCCCCATCCCTAACACGCTTATCAGCTCCCCACTTACGGCAGTCCTTCTCATCCTCGCCGTCACCGCAATTGTCCTGGCCGTTGCAGCGGAAAATGCCGGGGATGCAGCGGTTGGTGTTGGTGCACTTGAACTGGCTGGGCAGGCAGACGTGGATATCTTGGAAGGGAGGCAGCACAGTCACAAGCCGACGCTCTGCACCTCTGCTCTGCTGGGATGCTGCAGCCCCGCTGGGGTTTGAGGGTCGCGAGGGGAGGTGGAGAACCTACCGCAGTTGGCTTCATCCGAGTTGTCCTGGCAGTCGTTGTCTCCATCACAGATGAAGGCTGGGTTGGTGCAGATCCCAGTGGAGCACTGGAACTGCCCTGGCCTGCATTTGAATTCAGCTGTGGGGTGAGTAAGACAGGGTGAAACGTTTGCTCTGGGCTACATTTTCAGGGCAAACCTTCACCTCCCGCTTTCCCCTCTGGGGTCCTCAGCAGGGACCGAGCAACCAGCACCCAACCCCGGGCTCTGGCGCAGGGAAGGGGCAGCTCTGCTCCGACAGCAGCAGTGGCAGTCATCCCGCCTCCACGGGGCAATACCCCACGCAGGGACAGCGCGTTATCCCACTGCTCTCTAAGCCCTGTTCATGTGGTAACCCTGCTCTCTGCCGGAGCTGAGCAGGGAGCAGCAGCGCTGTCCCAAAGCCAGGGTAGCAGCAGGGCTTTGGGGGACTGGTTGCACAAGCAGCGCAAGGCTGCTGCGGACAGCACACGGATGCTGTAGGACTGGCAAGAACTGGGCAGCGTGGCTGGGGTGCTGGCACACCGTGGGCTGTGGTCAGCCCCGCTCGGCACTCACGGCAGTCCTCCGGCTCATCCGAACGGTCCCCGCAGTCGTCCTCGGTGTCGCATTTCCACCAGAAAGGGATGCACTTGTCATTCTTGCAGACAAACTGTGACAGAGAAGTGAGCTTGTGAGGGTGGCTCGGAATGGCGAGGACCCCAGAAGGCTTTGTCCCCAAGGAACTGGGCCAAGGGCACTGATCTCCGTGCTGTCCCTTCCCAGGCACCCCCAGGACACTCTGTGTCCTGACCTAGAGCAAAGCCTTAACCCTGAGCCCACCCCACAGAGTCTCTGGGGTTTGGGGGAGGGAGCGGGGCAGGCAGAAGGTCGTTCCAGAGCCGGGGGGGTCTCTGGCTCCCCTGGGCACCCCCAAACGACTGCGGTCTGTATGTGCTGGGAAGTGCCACAGGAGGGAGGTGTTGCCAGCGCCTGCAGAAGGCACGCGCACACCAGCAGCACCCAGCCGCGCAGCGCGGCACCAGCGCAAGCAGAAGAGCTGGGACCTACTAAAACCACGGCAGGGGGGACAGGCACACACGAGCA